CTCAGGGCTTTAAAAGTGTGAATGTGGGATCCCTGGGTGGCGCAGTGGTTTGGCGCCTGCCTTTGGCCCAGGGCGCGATCCTGGAGACCCGGGATCGAGTCCCACGTCGGGCTCCCGGTGCATGGAGCCTGCTTCTCCCTCTGCCTGTGTCTCTGCCTCTCTCTCTCTCTCTCTCTCTCTCTGTGTGACTATCATGAATAAATAAAAATTTAAAAAAAAATAAAAGTGTGAATGTGCTTTATTAAAACCCTAAGAAAAAGCTATAGGATTTTCATTTTCCAAATTTATTTGGCCACAGAACTTATTTTTTTTTTTAAATCAAATCTATCTTGGAGGATAGAATTTTGCCCCAGATAAGCCCTGGGAGAGAATCTAGTGTGAGGTAAGGATGTAGGGGTGAGTTGAAGAGTATAATCAAGTCTGGAGAGATGATCAGAACTAGAATGAGTTATGATTGCTAGTAACTAAGATTTAGTAACACAAAGATTTACCCATACTTAGATTTGTTCTTTTTTTTTTAAAAGTTTAAAATTTTAATTCCAGTATAGTTAACATACAGTGTTATATTAGCTTCTGGTTTACAATATAGTCATTCAACAGATTTGTTCTTCTTTATCAGACATTAGCTATAGGGACGCCTGGTGCTCAGTGCTCAGTGGTTGAGCGTCTACCTTCAGTTCAGGGCGTGATCCTGGAGTCCCAGGATCGAGTCCCGCATCGGGCTCCCTGCATGGAGCCTGCTTCTCCCTCTGCCTGTGTCTCTGCCTCTCTCTGTGTCTCTCATGAATAAAACAAACAAACAAACAAACAAACAAACAAACAAACAAACAAAAAAACCCAAAAAACACATTGGCTATAAAGGGATCTAGCTCTCTATGGTAATATATTTTTACTGTTCATTTGTTAAAGTTATTTCAGTAGTGATATTTTAATTTTATTTTCAAAAAGTTTTTATTTTAATTCCAGTTGGTTGATATAGAGGGTCATATTAGATTCTGGTGTACAATGTAGTGGTTCAAAACTTACATACAACATCTGGTGCTCATCATAATAAGTACCCTCCTTTATTGCCATCACCTATTTTTTAAAAAAAAGTGTTATCTTAATGAAAGAAGATGTTACCTGAATGATGGTTCATACACTGTGTAATGTCCAATATAAGCTTTTATTTCAACATAGTAGAGAGTGGAACATGATGATACTTAGTCCAGGAGTAGCATATCTAGAATGACTATTCATTTTTCGTTCTTTGGAGGAAAAATTAATGATCATCTTGAAAATTGGATCTGTGAATCCGCATGTATACAGGGCATGTAACTATCACCCCTTCATCCTCGGTTCACAGGTAGAGAAGGATGTCTTCTCACTTTGACCGAGAGGTCGTGACTGCTGTCTCACGAGTCATTCCTCCACCCCCAATTATATTATGGGCAACTCCGAAGCATTCTCACTGCAGTTGAATATCAGAGAACAATTTGGTTAGAGGGAATAACTCTGGTTGGTAACAATTTCTCCTAATTTATGGGTGAGGAAATAAGGATCCAGAGCACTTAGCCACTTGGCAACCTTTACATGGAAGCTTCTGGCAGGTGAGGGATTAGAAGAACTCAGACTGCTGGCAGCAGGCAGCCCATTTAGACGCCACTGCTCTAAAAGATCCTGCAGTGAATAAGAGAAATATTGCCGAGGATGCTAAGTCTGGTTATTTCCAGAAGCTTCAGTCAACTGCTGAGAAAACAATCTCAACAGGCTAAATAGGGTGATGCTTTGGCAGGCTCAGGAGATGTGGGATGGGCAACCCAACCCAAACCTGTGCTTTTGTGACCTGCCCATTGCCTCTCTCTATCCCTCCGTTGCAGCATATGCCAGGGTGGCAGAGATGAACCACACTCGGGAAACTGCCATCTGCTGCCTCAGCAAAGGAGCCACGGGAGGGGAAGGGAATCAGAGACAGAGATGTCTGTTCTTGTTTGCTTTGGGCTCTCACCTGGAGCGAGCCTGGCTCAGCTTTCCTCCCAGGGAGGCATTTGATCAGCTTTTAGGAGAACTGCAAAGAATGTGAATAAAGACCTCACAAAGGGGGACTGGCATTCAGTTGATGGGTGGAGTAAATGTCTCAAGAACCCAGCACAGATCCCCTTCATGGATTGTCTACACATAGATAGTGCTGATTTAAAAAAATCCAAGCATTTTTTTTCCCTGGACCCTGTTTAAAATCCCAAAACAATCTTGCAAGTAGGATAGAATCCTCATTTTACAAATAAAGAAAGAGAGGCTCAGAGAAGGCAAGTACCTTGTCCAAGGTCACTAATTAGCACAAGGTAGACAAGGGATTTGAACCAGGTCTTCTCAAGTTCCTGATGACAGGCTTCCTGTTAGACCTCAATGACCTTACTCTAGTGTGGCATTTTGTAATTTTCAAGGGACTTTCACTTATGTCATATCCTGTGAGTCTCACTACAAAACCACCAGGTAGAAAAGGATTTGACAGATTAGAACACAGACTTAGTGTGTTAAATCAAAGTCCAGGGTCACCAACCCAAGTCCCTCCCAGCACAGGTCCTGCTCTCTACTATGCCAGCTTGGGTTTCTTACTCTCCAGCCTCACTCAGCTTTCTTTTGCTCCTCATCCTTTGGTGGGTTGCTCAGATGTGCAAAGTTGTTTTGAGAACAGCCAAGGCTAAACTTAAGTTATTTCCTTCCGCCATGTACTAGAGTACTTGCAATAGAGTACTAGCAATGATAGCTCAGTGTACGGTGTCCTACTAGGTGCCCCAAACCACAATACACATTTTATATTTATTTAACATAATGCTCATAACAGCCCATGAAGTACCTGCTATTATAATACCCATTTTAAAGTCGCAGAAACCAAGGCACATAAAAGCTAAGTTAACTTGTCCAAGGTCAAAGAGCTAGTGAGTGGTGAAGCTGGGATTAAAACCAGGCAGACTGGCTCTAGACAAACTTGCAGAGCAGAAAATTAAGAATTAGCTGTAGAATAGTTAAAGTTGCTTGACTTCAGGATCTTCAGACCTATCTTCTGCCCTAGGATCCCTTGTCTGGAAACCACCCCACAGAGTGCTCACTGATGATTTGATTGGAATTCTGGAGATGTATCAACCACCTATCTCTCTATCTTTTTTTAAGATTTTATTTATTTATTCATGAAAGACAGGAAGAGAGAGAGACAGACAGAGACAGAGACAGAGACACAGGCAGAGGGAGAAGCAGGCTTCCAGCAGGGAGCCTGATGTAGGACCCGATCCTGGCCCGAAGGCAGATGCTCATCTGCTAAACCACCCAGGCGCCCCTCAACCACCTATCTCTTGAGGAGTCTAGAATCACCTCCTCCTGCTCTGTCATATTTGTAGAGTCTTGAATGTGGATAACAACCTGAGAACATATTCTTGCCATGTGTGGTGTGGTTGGGTGTGGACGCGGGTTGGCATGGGGATGGGGGATAGTTGAGCTGTCAGAAGTTAGAACAGCAATGAGTCAGCGGACCCACTCCACCACCAAGGGTCCTCCATCCTCCCTCCCCCTAACTCCTGGGCCCAGATTGGACACGCATAGCCTAAACTAGGGCTTCCCAAACTTCCCTGATCATAAGGATTACCTGAAGGGCTTGTTAAAAATATAGGCACTCAAGCACTTCCTCTGAAGATTTTCATTCTGTAAGACTCGGTTGAGACCTGGGTCTAGATATTTATATTCTTAGACACTGGTTATGGTCAGTTAACACATGTCAGTGGTGTGCTTACCCTATGCAAGCAGCTGGCAATTCAGAATGAGTAGGACTCAGTCCCTTCCCTTGATGAGCTGAGGGCCTACAAGGGTTCAGACAAGTAAACATATAAGTTTACTTTAAGACATAGTGGGAAGAGTACAGGGTGTGGTGGGCAGACAGAGTAGGGTATCTAACCCAGGCCAGGTGGTGGAGGGGGTAGGAGATAGGGCCTACAAGGGTTCAGACAAGTAAACATATAAGTTTACTTTAAGACATAGTGGGAAGAGTACAGGGTGTGGTGGGCAGACAGAGTAGGGTATCTAACCCAGGCCAGGTGGTGGAGGGGGTAGGAGATCCTAAGGCCATCAGATCTGACACAGCACACATCCTTATCCTGAGATGAATGAGCTCTTTCAGCTTACTCCACCAGCCAACTGAGGGTCCCCACATTCCATCCTCTCTTGCTTCTGGATCCAGAAATCGCCAGCTGTGGGTCAAGGATGGTGATGTGGGGGCTTGGCCCGAGACTCCTGTCTTGTACCTGCCCCTTCCCACTTCCCAAGCCTCATACTTGTTTGTTTCTTACATGACCCTCACTTTTCCCTGGGTCAGACATTGTATCTCATTTTGTTTCCTATGAGCAGCGCTGCTCAGCTCCAATGACACGCTGGCTCCAATGGAGCCTTTGGCTGAGGTGGTGCCAGAGTGGGTCTCTGCTCCCCTCTTCCCCCACCCCAAGCCCTCCTCTGGACATTTTTCTCAAAAGGTGGGCACAGATGACATGTTACCAGGCCGTGGCACTTCTGGCATTGCAGGGAGGGACCCAGCTCACATGGAAGAAGCTGTCTGGTCCTCACCCCTGTGTCGTGGAACTCAGCGCCTCCTAATCCCTTGGTGTCAAAACCCAATTCATCCTGCTGGATCAGGTGCTGTCTGAGTTCCCTAAGCCCCCTGAGGAAATCACAGGGAAGAAGGGAGGAGAGCTCCAGTCTTTTGTCAACTGTGGCAAGTTTGGGTGATTAAGCTAAAAAAGCAAAGTCATTTTGGTCCAGAGGATTAGTTTTGAGGTGTGTTGCAAATCTAGAAGTAACTTATTGCCTGCGAGGCAAACCAAACCCAAGATGACTCTCAGCTAATTGCCTGCCTTTCCTTGTGCCAAGCCTAGCTCCGTGGTATATAAAGGCCAGCCTCCTCTTCGTCCCCATCCTCTCCCTTCATCCCCCTCGGCTTTTGCTAAGTGATTGTTATCTGACCTCCAAGCTCTCTCACCATGAACAGACAAGTCTGCAAGACATCTGGTGGCGGCAGCCAGGGCTTCTCGGGCCGCTCCGCCGTGGTCTCAGGCAGCAGCAGGATGAGCAGTGTGGCCCGCTCCGGGGGAGCCAGTGGAGGGGCCTGCGGGTTCCGGGGTGGAGCGGGAGGCTTCGGCAGTCGCAGCCTCTACAGCCTGGGTGGCAACAAGAGCATCTCCATCAGCGTGGCTGGTGGCTCCCGGGCTGGTGGCTTTGGGGGAGGCCGTAGCAGCTGTGGCAGTGTCTTTGGGGGCGGCTATGGAGGTGGTTTTGGTGGTGGCTATGGAGGTGGGTTTGGTGGTGGCAGAGGAATAGGAGGTGGCTTTGGAGGAGGGGCTGGTGGCTTTGGTGGAGCTGGTGGCTTTGGTGGGGCTGGTGGATTTGGCGGGGCTGGTGGCTTTGGCGGGGCTGGTGGCTTTGGTGGAGCTGGTGGCTTTGGAGGGCCTGGTGGCTTTGGTGGCCCTGGTGGCTTTGGTCCTGGTGGCTTTGGTGGTCCTGGTGGCTTCCCCGGGGGAATCCAGGAAGTGACTGTCAACCAGAGCCTCCTGCAGCCCCTCAATGTGGAGATCGACCCCCAGATCGGGCAAGTGAAGACCCAGGAGCGCGAGCAGATCAAGACCCTCAACAACAAGTTTGCCTCCTTCATCGACAAGGTGAGGGCAAAGCTCAGAGGTGCCGTGGAGGGTTTCGGCTGCTCATGGGGTTGGTACATGGAGATGCCGGTGGGATCCGCCAGGCTTACAGGCGGGGGTATTGGCTTCTTGTCCTGGGTCTGCCTTGGGCCCCTCAGACAGCAGGCATGTCTGTTTTACTCTTCAGGCCCTGTTTTCCCAGCTATGAAACAGAAAGGGATTTTAACTTCTGATTTCCTTCTAGGGATAGGACTAGGGAAAACTAAGTGTGGGTCCATGTTTTCAAGAGAACATTCAATTTCTCTTGAAAAGCAACTTCTTGACAATCTAAACCAGTTGGTAATCAAACTTGCATTAGTAAGAATCTTGGGACTGCCTCTCAGTGATGAGTGTTGGCAGCTGACTTACTTTCCAAATGGTGCTATGTTGTAGTTGATATATTTATATTTTATACATATGTCAAAAATATATATTATATATATATTGACTGATATATATATTTTAAAGATTTTATTTATTTATTCATGAGAGACACAGAGAGAGACAGAGACACAGGCAGAGGGAGAAGCAGGCTCCCTGTGTGGAGGCTGATGTGGGGCTCGATCCCAGGACCCTGGGGTCACACCCTGAGCCGAAGGAAGACGCTCAACCACTGAGCCACGCAGGTGCCCCAGCCGATGTTAAAATGAGCTGTCTATGCTGGGGCAGGGAAGGGTGTGCTGGATCTGGGGGAATGAGCCTGGGGTTTGAAGGTAAACCCAGGTCAGCTATAAGCTGAGTAACTGAAAGGGGAAGCAACTAGGGAAAATGTGAAACAACTTGGGAAAAGTTAGATCCTGTTGACTATTTTCACTGCCTGTAGGAAGGTAAAGTTTTCACTTAAAAAATAATTACAAATAACTGTATTTACGCTGACCTTCTATACTTGTGTTCTGAAGGATTCCCATAGACTAGGGCAGTGCTGGCGGTGACTCTTAGCGTGGTCACTTAGTATCCAAGCCACTTTGGGCAACTTAATGTGTTAGAGACTCTGTTTCCTTATCTACACAGGGGATAATAACACCTCTTTTATAGGTGGTTGTGAGGATTAAATGATTTAGAATAAGTGAAAATAGTGGGTATAGAGTCAACAACACATTGTGGCTCTCTCTTGTCTACATTCTCATCCTTCTCAGTTAAACAGAACAAAACCCAGAGGCTGTTACAGATTGAACTAGGTTCATTGCCACATTTCCACTCTTTGGGATGCGTGATTCCCCTTTCTCAACTCAAGAGGCTAACTCCTTTTCTTTCTAACCTAACACAGGTGCGGTTCCTGGAACAGCAGAACAAGGTCCTGGAGACCAAGTGGGAGCTGCTCCAGCAGCAGACCACAGGAGCTGGCTCAGGACCCAACAACCTGGAGCCTTTCTTTGAATCCTACATCAGCTTCCTGCGGAGGCAGTTGGATTTGGCTCTAGGGGAGAGAGGAAATCTGGAAGGAGAGCTGAAGAATATGCAGGACCTTGTGGAAGACTTCAAAAAGAAGTGAGGGCTCCAACTGGGGAGTTTCCCCTTCCGGGGGATTAGCAGGAAGAAGTAACTCCAATTTAAGATTTTAACTGTTCCAGACTATACCTTCAGTCAATACTCTTGGATGGATTTGTTGAGTGAAGTGTGACTGAGTGGAAGGGGGTGAGAGGGTGGAGACTGAGACTTCTAAGTGGCTGATTATGACAGATTTCTCAGGATCCAGGCAGACCCCCTTCTATACTAGCCTAGATGGATGAGAGAATCCTCCCGGAGTTAAAAGCTGTTTGGGATGGAGAGTGCTCCACACTTCCTGTGCATAGGAGTCACCTTGGAAGCTTGTCAGTCCTAGATATTCTGAATCAGTAGGTGTGAGGCATGTCCCAGGAGTCTGAGTCCCCGTAGTTCCCAGGGGTTCCTGGCAGATGGTCTAGAACTCTTTCAATGTGCCCAATAGTCTGTTTCTGGAGCTTCCATCAATCTCCTGCATGTTCGGGGTTGTGGTTGATACCCTCTGAGGTCTATGAGAGGCAAATAGGGCCTCTCGAGGTGGGGAGGAAGTTCCAGACATCCCCAGCCTCAGGACTCACAGTGGTGGGCACACCTGCTCTGGGGAGGCCCCATTCTGGTTCAAATGCACAAACCTGATGGGCACCTGCTCTGTGCCAGGCTCTGTGGTGAGCTCTGGGAATCCAGTGGCAACTCGGATTGACATTGCCCAGGAACCTCTCCTCCTGGAACCATTTCCATTTTTTAATCTTTATGAGACCTAGACCCTGGGAGGGAGATTATAGTCATTAACAAGTAGAGGTCTCATAACCTTGATGCATTTGGAAGACAAGAGTTTATTCTTAACCTAAATTCCTGTAAGAAGCAACTCTAATTAATGGGAAGAGACACAGAAGAGAGGCAGAAAACCTCGTCTGAGCAAATACCTCTCTGGATCTCATATACACACGTTGCACTTTGCCATGTCTGTAGAGCCAGGCAAGTAGTCTGCCTCCTTGATGTCTTCCCCCACCCTGCCTACCCACACTTCAGCCTGTTCCCAGACTTTGCAGAGAAGGATGAGGCAGTGGTCTGAGCTCTGAAAGGCCTCTAAGCAGGACTGGCTACCTAATCCTGGGGGCTCAGTGCAAAATGAAAATGCAAGGCTCTTGTTAAAAAATTATCAAGAATTTCAAGATGGCACCAGCAGAACCATTAGATGGAATGAATGTGAGGACCTTCTGAACTCAGTCAGAGCTCCGTGTAACTGCCTAGGTCACATGCCCATAAAGCTGTCTTGTCTCTGGGTGAGGGGATTGCACATGCATGTTTGGGATCCTCATTTTTTTTTTTTTACTTCTGAAATGTCACTGTCCAAATGTGTTTTTCTCTCTGTCCCAGGTATGAAGATGAGATTAACAAGCGGAATGCGGCTGAGAATGAGTTTGTGGGGCTCAAGAAGGTAGGAGAACTGGGAAGAGCAGGTTGAGGCTCTATTTCTGGGCACTAACCCCATGGAGTCAGCTGCCCTGGGGCCCAGGGACCCTATGCTGTGTGCAGGGTTTACATTTCTCCTTATGTTTTTGGAAATGAAGGAAGCTGTTCTAAATACATTGTTGGTGAGGAAAACATCTTGCAATGTTACTGCAATTAATTAATCAGTTAGTAATGTGAGCTAATAATGAAGGTTTTATGTGTAGCATTAATCAAGGTTTTCAGCCTACAAGTGTACCCTGGATGTCATTAATAATAACAATCATCCAATACTTGCAGCTTACTTAACCAGTCATCATAAAGATGAGGTAGTGAGAAGAATACCCTCATTTCTATTCAGAAGGTTGGTAATATAATATCCCAAACCCAAAGTCACATGTTAAGTAAATGTGATTTTTCTACCCTTACTCCAATGCCTGGCTAATATGGTTTATATTTTGTTAAAGCATCAGGGTTTAATTGGTCAAGGCAACGAAAGGGAAGAAAACTGCTTTGATTTTCTTTTAAAAGGGAAAGTGAGGAGTGGAAATTAGGAGGAGGACAGGGGAGGGACAAGGAGGAGGGACAAAGGCTTAGGAAAGACCTGTGAGTGATGGAGGGGCAGTGGGTCATTCTTTTGGGTTTCTGATTTCCTGCCTTTATACCCTGCAGGATGTGGATGCGGCGTACATGACCAAGATGGAGCTGCAAGCCAAGGTGGACAGCCTGACAGATGAACTGAACTTCTTGAGGACCCTCTATGAGATGGTGATTCCTTGATTCCTTGGTTTGCCAAGCTCCAGAGCCTTCTTTTCTGCATCTTCCCAGACATGCTTCCCAAGTAGGAGTTTAGGGGATAGTCAAGTAGCAGGACACCCCCAAACCAGCAACAGGGCTTAGAACTCAACCATGCCCTGCCAGGGAAATGCTCATTTAGGTCTCCCAGCCTGCATAGACCTGGGCCATAGGGTCAGGGTCCCTTTCAGTCTTCTTTGTTTTCCTTCTGTCTTGTCCATTTTGTTCTACACCTTCCTTCTGGCTCCTAAACCAGTACCATAGCTAGCTCCTTCAGACTCCTCCTCCCTACTGCAGTCCCATGGAAACCCCACAGTTGAGCTCACTGGCTGATACTCTCAGGCTGACAACCTGATTATATTTGCACATTAACTTTTTCTTTTAACAAGGTTTCTAGTAGATATTTGCACATTAACTTTTTCTTTTAACATGGTTTCTAGCAGCCTTTTGGCTATAGCGGGATGGGGCCTGAAATGCAAGCTTATTTTTCTAACTGTCTCATTCCTGGCTCCATGTTGGGATATATCTGCTGGTAGAAGATTCTTGGACTTCTTCATTCCCAGCATCTTCTGGGGCCAAGGGATGGTGAAAATGATCATGTTCCCCATAGGAGCTGTCTCAGATGCAGAGTCATGTCAGTGACACATCTGTGGTCCTGTCCATGGACAACAACCGCTGCCTGGATCTGGACAGCATCATTGCAGAGGTCAAGGCCCAGTATGAGGAGATTGCCCAGAGAAGCAAGGCCGAGGCTGAGGCATTGTACCAGACCAAGGTGAGAGCCCTCTCCTTGCCCCATCCTCTAGGTTTAGGTCTTGCTGACCTTCATCAAGAATATTCTAACACTGCAAAACCATGTTGATTGGTTTCTCTTCTGTCAGCTTGGGGAACTTCAGACCACTGCTGGCAGGCATGGGGATGACCTGAAGAGTACCAAGAGTGAGATCATGGAGCTAAACAGGATGATCCAGAGGCTGCGGGCTGAGATTGAGAATGTTAAGAAGCAGGTGGGTCTGGACCTAATGGAGAGATGCTGAGGGTCTTCTGGGCCTTGGGGAGAAAGAGAAGCAATAACTGCCTCTGTCACATGCTTTCTCTGTCCTTTCATGGTGTCAACTGTGGGATAGCAGTTTCTGGGAGAGTCCATTCTCCCAGAGATTCCTTCTGGAATCGGATTCTTGGAAAGCTCCCTAAGGAGATATTGTTGCTCATTCTGGCTTTCCCAGCAAATCTTGCAACTGTAGGGATGGCCTTAAACACTCAATTTCAGTAGAATCTGCCTTCAGCGAACTATTTATCATGCACTTCACATAACCTCAATGGCTAATTTGTATCACTGGAATAAAGTGATTAATTAGGCAAGGGAGTTTTAAACAGTCTCACAAAAAAGAGCCAGTTACTAGGCCACTACTACCTTTACTAGCAAATCAATGTTCTTATTTTGATGAGACATGAGTTAATTTCAATGGGCTAAAGATAAATAGACCAGTTGCAAAATGGACTTCTGTTTTCTGGCCATGTGCAATTGCAATTTCTAAGGTAGGGGATGGAGGGATGCTGAACGGGGAAGAGAGTTTTCAGGAAAGATCAGTTGTTTGTTTCTTGGTCACTATGCTAATTGGTCTCCTACCTCTCCCTGCCCCAGAATGCCAACCTGCAGGCAGCCATCGCTGAAGCTGAGCAGCGTGGGGAGATGGCCCTCAAGGATGCCAATGCCAAGCTCCAGGGCTTGCAGACCGCCCTGCAGAAGGCCAAGGATGACCTGGCCCGGCTGCTGAAAGAGTACCAGGAGTTGATGAATGTGAAGCTGGCGCTGGATGTGGAAATAGCCACCTACAGGAAGCTGCTGGAGGGTGAAGAGTGCAGGTGAGAGCATGTGGGGTCAGCATTCTCCAGATAAGATTTTAGAGTGACCTTTGACAATAAAGAAAGAGAGCAAGATGATTGGAGAGGACAACTCAGACAAAGAGTAAGGAATCTCCTGAATGACAGAATTTAGGATTCAAGTGCCATCATTTTTTTTTTTTTTTGGTCAATCAAGATCGTCCAATTCTCCATTTTACCAGGACATCAATGTTGTATTACATAGGTCTGTTGATCCTCCTTAGGAGCAATAAGTAAGGAAAAGTGCTTTGGGGTTATGACAAAAGTTATAGTGAAGTCCACTGGAACTTTCTGAGATGACAAAATGTTCCGTGTGCTGTCCAAGACAGTAGCTATTAGTCACTTGAGTACTTGACTTGTGGCGAGCACAACTGAGGAACTGAGTTTTATACTTAATTTAATTTTAATAAATTTAGCTAGCTCTATGTGGCTAGCTTTATGAGGATATTGGACAGCACAGTATAGACAGTCCTGCAGCTTTCCACCCCTGAGGTTGTCCATAGGGAAAGGGGCTGATGCACACATACTCTGGAAAAAATGGCACAGTATCAAGTAGCAGATAAGGGCTTAGTGAGTGGATATCAAATGCCAAAGAACTATTAAGGATTGAGAGATCCTTCTGCTGACTAGCTAGTTGCTCTAAGCATCCTGCATTGTCTCTGTCCTCAGGCAGTTCCCAATCTGAGGGAGGAAGCAGAACTCAGGTGTGAGAAGGAAACTTAAGGATTTTATATAAGTCTCTATGAAAAGGAGTGGGAGTGATGATGGTGCTATATGTGTCGGGAATTGTGGGACGAGGACAGAGTGGTTGACAATAGTAAGGCACACAGTGGCAAGGTGCACAGACATGCTCCATGTGTGCTCAGGCATGTGGACATGCCTGCCCCATAAACAAGAACGAGGCACAAGAAGAAGGGCTGTGTGGGCAGGACATTTTCAGACTCATCATGTGTTGAGTGTCAGCTCTTCTCACATTTTACCCATATAAACCACTGAGGGGGGCATCCCTGGGTGGCGCAGCGGTTTGGCGCCTGCCTTTGGCCCAGGGCGCGATCCTGGAGACCCGGGATCGAGTCCCACGTCGGGCTCCCGGTGCATGGAGCCTGCTTCTCCCTCTGCCTGTGTGTGTCTCTGCGGCTTTCTCTCTCTCTCTCTGTGTGACTGTCATGAATGAATAAAAAAATTCAAAAAAAATTAAAAAATTAAACCACTGAGGGGCTAACCAACTGGGGGTTAGGTGTTGAGCAGTCAGCCTGGAACAGATACTCTGGAAACTAAGGGGAAGAGGATGGACAGATGGAGAAACAGGATGGCTGGTGAAGCTCTTGAACATCTCAACTCCCCCAGAGCAGCCTCTTTTCCTGGGGAGATGTGGTCATGAAGACACTGGGAATAGCCTTTCTTCCTCTGGGGGCTTGACTCCTAGTGGGGCACATAGGGGCATGGCTCCCAGGGTTTTGAACTCTCAGCTCCGTGGCTAATGACTCATGGCAGAAATAACCCACATCTTCTTCTCTTCCTTTTTAGGATGTCTGGAGAATGTCAGAGTGCTGTGAGCATTTGTAAGTATCCCTTCAAAAATGTTCTCCCTGGGTTGCAAAACGGGTGACCAGAGACATCTTCACTGACCGACCTATAGCAGGAAAGCTTGGCCTATGCAAGGAGTTCAGGCCACTAAACAGTGGTAGGGTCTCAGGCCATGGTCACACACTCCCCTGCTAGCATAAGTGGGGAAACTCTAAGGCCAAAGCTAAAATGCCTGTGGTCTTGGGGAGTTCCCTAGGTTGGAGAACCAGAAATTTCTGTGGATGCTACCGGCTCTTGTTCTTGGGGGACACTAGAGGGCCAGGCTCACTCTTGTCATTTACCAGCTGAGGCCTCAGGGAAGTTGAGCATCTTTCTCAAATTTGCACAGCCGAGCAGGGTAGGGTTGTCATCCAAACCCAGGTCTTTGCCTAAATTGAGTGCTTGTTCTCCGCAGCGGTGGTCAGCAATGTCACCAGCACAAGCAGTGGCTCTGGTGGAAGCCGTGGAGGGTTCAGTGGTGGCAGCAGCGGTGGCTACAGAGGCGGCAGTATCAGCAGAGGCAGCAGTGGTGGCTACGGAGGAGTCAGCGGTAGCAGCAGCAGGGGCTACCAGAGTGGCAGCAGCGGAGGCTACCAGAGTGGCAGCAGCGGAGGCTACCAGAGTGGCAGCAGCGGGGGCTACCAGAGTGGCAGCAGCGGGGGCTACCAGAGTGGCAGCAGCGGGGGCTACCAGAGCGGCAGCAGTGGAAACAGGCTCAGCAGCGGAGGAAGCAGCTCTGTGAGCCAGAGTGGAATTGGCTCCAGCTCTGGTGGCATCCAGACCTCAGGAGGCAGCAGCTATAAGTCTGGCAGTGGAGGCAGCACCAACATCCGCTTCTCTCAGACCACCAGCTCCAGCCAACACTGCTCCAAGTGATCCTCTGGGGTTAAGCGTCCATGCCCACCTGCATCCCTCTCGGGCTACCCACAGCACTTCCCACTCTGCCTGGCATCAACAAATGCCAACCTCCACCTCGCTTTTCTTCAAGTTCCCTGGAGAAGGGGCTGAACTTCTTCCTGGCTCCTCCATTCCCACAACCTCTCCTAGGCCAGGGAGGTCCAACTGCTAATCCCAGATGGTGGTGCCTCTAGATGAGCCTATGATGGCTCCTGCAGATGGTAGCAGTACATGAGCCCAAACAACTATGGGCCTTCTCAGCCTGGTCTGTTCCCACCCTGACCCATCTCTCTCTCTCACTGGTAGTTGATGGTCTGAAGCAGGCATGTTTCAGCCTCGCTGAGGAGGGGGGTGCTAGAAGGTGAATGGTCAAGTTCTCTTGGACTGTTGGTTCTCAGGGTGCCCTCCCCACATCTGGGCATCATGTCCTGACTTACCTCTGCCCCTTTAATTCCCCCAGCTGTGGATGCTCTGGTGATGATTATGTTGCACTTTCTTTTCTCAATAAATTGCACTGTATTTCACATTCGGGTGTTTGGCTTTCATTCAAGGAGTCATAGAATAAACTGAGGTTCAAGAGTGGAGAGAAATCAGGTGTGGATGGTGGTCTTCCAGAAGTTCAGTGGTGGGTATAAAGGATACTCAATAGTCGTGTCTTCTCCTTTATCCATTTGCCTGGGTTCTTGTGATAGGTCTGTCCAAGAGTGTTAATGTTGCTTAAGTGGGGGCCTCCACCCCCAAGGAGGTCTTCCCATCCATCCTCTTTGCCTCTGAGTTGGCCTCTTGGATCCAGTCTTGGAAAAATAAGGTTTTGCAGTTCATCAAGAGAATAGATTCTACTCGGCCTGTGGTTCCTTTGCTCCAGCTCTCATGTCAGCCAGACAGTGAATTCTCTTGCTGCAAACACAGCTCCTAGAGTCTGGAGGGATCAATGCCTTACACCCTCTTTTCCCTGACCAGATTCTGAGCCAACTAAAAAGTAAGACAAAGGAATATAGGACCTTAGGATTAGGCCAGATTTCCCACCCGGACAGACACAACATAGGGCCATCATGGCCTTCCCTAAGGTGAGGCCCTTCATGAGAGATAGGAGAGCTGAACATCAGCTTGCTATGAACAGTCAGATCCTAAGAGATGGAGGGGCAGAACTACGCATGCCCAGTTCTCCCTTCCAAATTAGCTTTTCGGGAAAGAGAAAGAGTAAGAGAGCCACTAGTGGAGTTCACTCCAAATGGGTATAAAATTAGGATTGAGGAAGATGCATACTTGCCCTTACACTGGCATTTCCTGGCTGTTCCTAGAAAGCTGAAACCCAAACCTAGGGAGGAGAGGGACAATGAGACAGCCACTGAAGGAAGCAGGGGAATTGACAGCTTTGGTGGAGTCTCTGTTCCTTTCCCCATGCCCCAATTCAATCCCATCTTCATGCCTTTGAGCATGATAACATTCTGGTGTGTAAGTCACTGTGTATCATACATTATCTCCCCACACCCATAAGTCAGATCAGAGCTGGACTAATGAGGGGTCATTTGTACACTAACTGATGGGCCAAGAACAGTGCCAGGACCTGGTCTCCATGTTCTTGAGCCTGATCCAATCTCCTACACTCACCTCATCTGATCTCCAAAATACAGCAGTTGTATCTCAAGCCTTGGAGGAGACTAATTTTAAAGTTCCTATCCTTGAAAGTGTAATAAATCCTTGCCTATCTTTTCAAGGCCTGCTGGCAGGAGGTAGTCCCCTTCCCCATTTACACTTGGCACAGCTCTGGGTACTGTGGGAGCAGGACAGTCCATTTTGATTTGTTGCTCTCACAAGCCAGCAGGAGACATTACAAGAAACATCACCAGCCCCTAGGAAGACACCCCAGGTGCTCTGCTCCTTTGTTGCCTAACTAACTTCCTGGGTAGAGGCTGAGTGCACTGGACTAAGCCAGCTCTCATCAGACTGAAGCAGCAGAGTTTGGGGATGGTTGCTCAGTCTCTTTTCCATCATTCCATGTGTGGAGAGCTTGTTCCTGGGCGCTGCCTCAGGGCCCTGGGACATGCAGCGAATACTTAGGGCTTAACTGAAAGAATGAAGAGAGTCATGACAGCCAGACCTCCCTCCCCGCAGCCTGGAATAGGCCACACTCCAAGGCAGGATGAAGCTGAAAGTTGACACTGAGAGCCTGGCAACTTCTTATGAGCTCTTGTGAGGAGAGATGGTGGAGGGGGCTACAGAGGGAGGTGATGAAAGACTGCAGGATACTTGGAATCAAGAGAGGGCTTGATCAAGGCGTGTTGGAGAGGAAGCCTGGAGCAGGCCTGGCAAGAAGAGTCTGTCTGGGCAACCTGGAGGAAGGGCAAGGTTGTAGAAGAGATATCCAGACCAAAGACCAGGAGAATTCTGGGACTAGCATCATGTTTTATATTCTTGACACAGGCTGGGATTAAACCATGTGCTGGTGGAGCAGGGAAGCTTCCAAGGTGAGGGCCTCATTTTTGGGTCCAGGCTAGAGGGTGGAGAGAATCAAATGTCACTAAGTATATGGGAAGCTGGCAGTCCTGAGCTTTCTGAGTCATTAAGAATCCCTCATATTCATCTCCCATGTGAAGATAGAGCTCTGGCAACTTTTTTGCTTTTGAAGGCAGCCAGGATATGCAGAATAGGTATTTACCTTATGGAATGGCCAGAGGGGTGACAGGAGCCTTCCCAAAGTGAAGCTTGAAATCCTACCAGTTATGTCTTTAGGATTAAACAATCTGTCTCCTAGAGGCAACTGCTTCTTCATTCTCTATCCTTTATCCTTTCTTCCTTTTTTTTAAAGATTTTATTTATTCATTTGAGATAGAGAGAAAGAGAGAGAGAGAGAGAGAGAAGTGTGGGGAGAGGGAGAGGGAGAGAGAGAATCTTGAACAGACTCTGTGCTGAGTGGAGCCCAATGTGGGGCTTGATCCCACGACCCTGAGATCATGACTTGAGCTGAAATCAAGAATTGGACACTTAACCTACTGAGTCACCCAGGCGCCCCTATCTTTTATTCTTTATTCTTACTTTTTCCCTCTTCTTCTGAAGATCTTCCTCTATAGGAAGATCTATATCATTCCTCTATGATAAAAACAACACATCTCTGTAGCAAAAATGCATAAAATTTAGCGAAGTAAAATAAAAAGGTGATTTATAATTCCATCTCCCTGTGACATTTCCCTATGTGTATGCATGTGCACACCCTCCCCCCACACACACATACGTAGAGATAGGTGCAGGCAGATGTATCCTCTTTTACAGAATAAGGTGTTTAACAATACATATTGCTTTACAAACTGGTTTTTCACCTAATCTATTGTGGAATTCATTCATTTAGTCATTCAACAACTAGACTGAGTGCCTATCGTTTTCCAGATATTGTGCTGGGCTCAGGAATAGAGAGGAGAACATGTATTGTCTCTGTTCTCATGGGGTTTATAGTCTGGCTGGGAAGAAACTTACCAAATGGTATCTTTCTACAACAACCAATATAGATGGAGATCATTATTTTACTTTTCAGTGCAGACTCTTATTTTTTTTTTTTAAATAGGCTCCAATTCTAATATAGGGGTTGGAACTCACAACCCTAAGATCAAGTCACATACTCTACCCACTGAGCCAGCCAGGTGCCCCTCAGTTTCTTATTTTTACTTAAAAAAACCCCACAAAGGTACACATTGGGGATTAAACTATATTTTTTCCTTTTTTACAACAAGATTTAAAAAATTTATTCATGAGAGACACACACACACAGAAGGCAGAGACACAGGCATAGGGAGAAGCAGGCTCCATGCAGGGAACCCGATGCAGGATTCAATCCTGGACCCCGGGATCACACCCTGAGCAGAAGGCAGACACTCAGCTGCTGAGCCCCCCCAGGCGTCCCTTTTTCCTTCTTTGTAGAGGTGTGGCATACATGTTTTTTGGTCATTAATATTCTACCAAATATTTTTATTAAACTTAAGCCAGACAGAGGAGCATTATTAAAGCTTTTTGGAATCCCCCTTCCATTCAGACTGCATTAGACCAGTGAACGTCACTTTGGCAGGGAGAAGAATAGAGGTGGGAAGGCACAGCTTGAAGAATCACATTTTTACTAAACTCACCCTAATTCCAACCCAAAACCTAAAAACTGATTTATACAAGAAAGGATTTTAAGTGAGTCTGCATAAATACTTACTATGCTATACGGAAAGGATAACTTTAGTTTATATTCAGCATACAGTATATATTCACTGGTGTCCAATAAAACAGTAACTCCAAAGAAGGAAATACTTTTGCCTTCATAGCACCAACAATTAAAAACTACAGCCATTTAATACTTAGATCTTTAAGTAGGTAACCACAGACATTTTTTTTTAAAGATTTTATTTATTTATTCATGAGAGACACAGAAAGAGGCAGAGACACAGGCAGAGGGAGAAGCAGGCTCCATGCAGGGAGCCCGACATGGGACTTGATCCCAGGACCCCAGGATCACGCCCTGGGCTGAAGGCAGATGCTCAACAGCTGAGCCACTCACGCGTCCCAATCACAGACATTCTAAGATTAAACCTACCAGATTAGTCTGAGTATTCATCTACAAAAAAATATTTTTTTTAGGGGTGGCTGGCTGGCCCAGTTGGTAGAGCATGTGACTCTTGACCTCAGGGTTGTGAGTTCAAGCCCCACTCTGGGTGTAAAGCCTACTTAAAAGAAAAAAAAATTTTTCCCCCAAAAATTATTCTTATAAAAAAAGATCTTTTGCAGCAGTGGTACTACATCAGGACCAGAAGAAGAAAATGATAAAAGAACTGCAAACTTAAGTCTAGGAGTTGATTTTCATATGTAGCTTTTGGGTAAAAGACATCCTTTTTTAGTTTATTCCCACAGCCAAGACTAGTTCTGATTTTCCCATAATGGTGGGCTGAATATAGAGGAGTTTCAGAAATCTGAAGACCAGGGCAGCTGTTTATGGTTTTTTTTTCTGTTTTGTTTTTGTTTATGTATTTAATAGATGCTGAAAGCAGTTAAGGATAGGGGCACCTGGCTGGCTCAGCAGTTGAGCATCTGCCTTTCACTCAGGTCATGATCCCAGGGTCCTGGGATCGAGTCCCACATTGGGCTCCCGGTGCATGGAGCCTGCTTCTCCTTCTGCCTGTCTCTGCCTCTCTCTCTCTCTCTGTGTCTTACGAATAAATAAAATCTAAAAAAGCCCAAAACAATAACAACAAAATTCCTAAATAAAATCTCCTTACTGGTGGGCCATTGGGTTTGAAGGACTGAAACTCTCAACCAGAGCTGTGAGCACGGGGAAGATTTATGCAAAGCCTGCCTGTGGTACTTGGAACAGGGAGGGTTTGTGATTGTGCTGTTCTACTTGTCACAGGAGCATGTATTCTGGGGGCAGGGGCCTTCTAGGTGGAACGCCTGACATAGTCTTGTCCCAGAGCAGTCTGACTCTCAGAAGCACCTGAGAGAGGTGTCTGTTTTGGCAGGAGAACTAGGGCTTACTGAATAGAAGGGAAAAGAAGACGTCCTGGGAGCCTCAGGAAATTATCGTTCTGACCCATCAATACCTGGTGTTAATAACCCCTGTAGAACGGGGCCAGCCTTTCCAGGTGTGTTCTCCAGTCACCGGGAGCAGAAGCCTCTCCTGACTTAATCCCGCCTTGTCCAGGAGGCCGCCACTGCGGCAGGTGGGAGCTGGTGCTAGAGATTGCTCTAGGGAAGGGGGCCATGGGAGATGATTTGCACAATGAAGTCACTCCTAAACCACTGCTTAAGGCCAGCCCTTGGCCTTCTTTTTCTGCTCTATAGTCCAGAAACATCTGAACGCCAGAAAGTCCGTAAATGTGAACAGCATGTTGAATAGGTCATTGGCCACCTCATCTTCACGGTGCTGTGCTGTTGCTATGGAAGCCGCCTTGTTGAATTTGGGAATCCACGCCAGCAGCTGTTCTTCAATGTACTTTTCTACCAAAGAGAGGTATTCATTACAAGCGAGGGTGTAGGTGAGTTCATTCTCTACCTCCTGGTAGTATCTGTCCATGAGGTTTCTCAGCAGTACCTGGAACTCTGCATCCATGACAACGTCCTGGGTAGAGCCAACCACAGCACCAAATTGGCCTTCAGAGATGGAAGAGATGGACGATGAGAAGCTCTCTTTTCCCAAGACTTCTGCGGCCTCCATTGGCCTCGGCTACTGGCCCGCGGGTTTCCCTGCAGCCAGGGCTGGCGAATCTGCACTCTGCACCCGGCCCCCATGACTGACTTCCAGGATCCACAGCCCGTCAGCTGTCACAGTGGCCGAGATCATCATTCTTAATGGCTGCAGAATATTCCATTATGTGGATGTAACACATTTTGTTGCGCATGTTTTTTCCACTGTAATAAACATTGCTGCAGTAAACACACATGTCTCAGGACACTTGTCCCATTCATTCTTTAAGATAACTTTCGAGATGTGGAGTTGCTAGGCCACTTTAAAATTTTGACTCATATTGTCAGTCTACTGTCCAGAACGAGTGTACCAGCTAGTAATTTTACAAATAATATATAGGACTTCCTGTTTCTCCAGTTGTACAAACATTCTGTGATATTCTTTTTTTTAAAGATTTATTTATTTATTCATGATAGACATAGAAAGAGAGAGAGGCAGAGACACAGGAGGAGAGAGAAGCAGGCTCCATGCCGGGACTCCAGGATCACGCCCTGGGCCAAAGGCTGGTGCCAAACTGCTGAGCTACCCAGGGATCCCCTGTGATATTCTTTTTAAATTTTGAGTTTCCTAGGTTTGATTTTCATTTCTCTGATTGCTAATGAGATTGAACCTTATAAATATAGTACATATTATTTAATTATTAACATTTTAAATATATTAGCTATTTAATTTTCATTTTCTGTAAATTGTTTCCATTTATTCAGTCCATTTTCTCTTTGGATGATCATTTTATTTTTCTTATTAATCTACTCGTCCAAGACAAGGGTTCCAATAGCACCTGAGCCACTCAGAAGGCTAGAATCTAGGCAACATTCTTAATTGGGCCAGGATGAGTGCCCTGTGGGGGAAGTAGGGGTGAGGAAGGCAGAACCTGGCCCAGGGACAGGGAAGCCAGAGGGAACTGACAGGATTGCAGGGAAGTGGGGCCAAGTTCCAAGTGGGGGGAGTCACCTCTAAAATCATGTCTGCAATGGTAGATGAGATGATGAAGTTGGGAGGTGGGGTGGCTAAGAGAGAAATGGAAGCTGGATCAGTCCCATAGGATGAGGGGTCTGCTGTGGATGGCCCTCCAACACTAATCCTGCTTTATTCACTTCCCTACAGCATTGATCCTAAAAGCACTCCAGTACATTTTCTGCCCACAATTTCTATCTCAGGGTCTGTTTCCTGCTTATTTGGGATTTGAATGAGGAGGATGCCTCTCTTCAGGCAAGAGCTAGTTCTCCTGGGGAGAGTAGAGAAGACCCTGAGATCCTTGAAGACCCTGGAAGTGAAGAGCCAGTGGCAGTGGGCAGCCCATGGCTGATACCAAAGATTTACGACAAAATTCTGCAGGGATTTGGAAGGGAGTGGGTCCCATGACTTGCTGCCATCTGCTTAATTATAAACCTTGCCTGGGACATTCAGAAAAGCTGAGCTGTGGGTGGGACAGGGATTGACTGATGTGCTAACTGATTGGGTCAGTCTCCCCAGCCCACCTCCTACCTTGTCTGTCCATTCTAGACATTCCCTCCCCACTCCACCCCCCACCCATGGCTGAGTCTCTGAGGATTCCACTGTGATGCCCAAGGTCACTGAAGTCAAGACTTTATTAGCTGATCTTTGGCTCCTAAGAGATGGAGATAAACTCCTAAGAATTTTCCCTGCTGCTAGGCTGCTGGGGCCAACCTCCCCTAATCTACCTTTTACTAGCAACTGGGGAGAGCGATTGGCAAAGGTGTGCATTAAAACTCCTTTCTCGTGCTACTGTTTAGACTAGTCTTTTGGTTGTTTCAAGACAGGTTCCACCTTACTAAAGATGCAGTTACTCATATTCAAAGCCTACACAGTACACATTTGAAAGCCCATAAATTTATTTCATGTACCTTTTGCTCCGAGAAAATAATTACGATGTAGGGTCTTATCTGTCCAACAGTAATCCTTCATGATGGAAATTCAAAGAAAACCTGGGACTTGAGGCATTTTTAACAGTTGTTTTCAACTTAGAATAATTATTACTGTTCAGTTAGAATGAAGTGCAATTTTCTTTTTTTAGGGTGGGTGCAAAGGGAGAACAAGAAGCTCAGTCAGGCTTCATACCCCATGCTCAACATGAAGCCTGACATAGGGCTCAATCTTGCAATCCTGAGGTTGTGACCTCAGCTAAAATCAAGAGTTGGACACTTAACCAACTGAGTCAGCAAGGCACCCCAAGTACAAATTTTAGCAGAGTTGAATGGGTCTGTCCAATTTCTCTATCTGCACATGGCTGAGGCATCTGAGTTTTCTGACTGTATGACTGTAATCCCTGCCTCACCCACCACACACCTACACACACACACACACACACACACACACACACACATGCTTGCCTTTTTGAAACAGAGAAGCACTTGTTAAAAAAAATAAAATTCAGTTGACTAAATGTGAAGATCTAATTGGCTTTATTAAATGATTCAAGAGTTGGGCAGCATCCCATCTAGCAAGTAGAAGGGAGCTCAATGACCCAAACAAAAGGATTTTAAAGGCAGAGGGAGGGCATAAAAAAAGGAGAAAGGATTTATTAGTAAGGAATGCATTGTTCAGGCAAGGTTACCTTTCCAAGAGGAGTGGAAGGGGGTCTATCAGTAAATTTCCTGGTATTGACCAGGAAATTCTACATTGATTGGCTAAAGGTCGAAAGTGCAGTTAAGTTAGGTGTTAAGTCTTAGTTTGCTGACTTGTCCTAGATGATGCTATTTTGGGCCTGTGATTTTTCTTTTTAACACACCAGATAGCAAAAAAAGGAAAAAAAAACCCACAAAAAAACAAAAACAAAACTAAACAAAACAAAAACAAAACCAAAAAAACTCCCCCAAACCCCAAAACCCTACCACCACATGTAAACACACAGATATGCACCTGATGAGGATGCTGGTGAGAGGTAGTTAGGTTATTTGTTTGATATGCAAGCGATGATTTTCTGTTATTGTACAGAGGAAGACACCATTAGTTAAGAGTTAATATGTACCAAATGCCTATTATTCATTAGGACCTGATCTAAAATAATTCTTACAGGGCAGCCCAGGTGGCTCAGTGGTTTAGCACCGCCTTCAGCCCAGGGTGTGATCCTGGAGACCCAGGATTGAGTCCTGCGTTGGGCTCCCTGCATGGAGCCTGCTTCTCCCTCTGCCTGTGTCTCTGCCTCTCTCTCTCTCTCTCTGTGTCTCTCATGAATAAATAAAATCTTGAAAAAAAATAATCCTTACAACCACACTATGAGAGAGATCATATTGTTATCCTTGTCTTATTGATGGAAACCAAGGTGTAGCATGTTAAGCAACTTATGAAAGTCACGTAACTAGGAGCTGGAGGTCATAATTCAAACTCAGGTACTTTTACTACAACATGGCTTGACTGACTCAAAGACCAGTAGGATACAAGGGAAGAAAAGGTTTTCTAGCAGTAGATTTTTTTTTTTTGCCCCAAAAACTCATGATGCCCAACTCTGATGTTCCAAGGTCTCCTTGGCCTATCTGGTCTTTTTGTGAATTGGAAAAAGGTGTCCACTCTGTGCAGATACAACTCCACAGGTTTGGCAGAGGACAGCACTTTGTGTAAAGTAAAAGATGCCTGCACTCTGGACTCCTATTAGCCGATTTCTGGCTAATAGCCCCTGCCATAGCACATAGATAGGTGACCAGAGTATGGGTCTGATTTTGGCCTTTTTACTCTTGACCTGGAACTCTTGTATAGGATACAACCCACACAAATGTACATGGAAGCCTTGGTGCTTTTGTGTCTGAGCTCTGAGATCTGGGGAGGGGGGGGAATATCTCTAATTCTTGTTGACTCCTTGGTTTGTAGTCTCTGCAGCTGGCCTGCCTCTGTACCTTTCCATTTCCAGGGTTGGCACTGTCTTTCTAGAATAAGACAGTAATAACACCTGCTCTCCAGTGACTCAGGGTCCCACGGAATCTTACGGCTTTAGATTCACTTCAGCCGGCAAAGGATGGGTGTGTGCTCTCTTCAGCAAGGAATGCTTTATCCATAATCCTGACACATTGGCTCTATCCATGGTTTATCCACCACAAGCAAAGAAGAGTTGCCAAGTTACATGAGAATGAAGACTGGGAACCTATTTATGTGGATTGTAACCCTTTAAGGAATGAAGATATTAAAAATAATAGTATAGTTATTATATTATATAGATATCAACTTTAATATAAAGTTAGTGAAGTGACACTGAAACGAATGCTTTATATGTAGCAACACGATAACACCATGTTTCAACTGTAGTAGGGATATCTGGGAGAAAGAGGCCATAAAGGTATTTTTAGGAAGCTAGCAATCAATGTACTCTCAGGAGTGTGGTGCTCATAATACAGGGATTATGTACAGAGAAAGATTCCAAGGGTTTAGGAGTTGACCAGTGATGGGGAAATAGACACTGAATTTGGATTAACTGAGATCTTGAGGTGAGAAGGGGGAAGAGACAGACAGGATAACAGTGAGAAGGTGTCATGGGGTCAAGAGAAGGACTTTAAGGATGGGGAAGATTTGAGCATAGAGGAGAGATTGAGGACCTGGTGGGGAGGAGGGTAACTGACTGAGTAAAGACCTAGAGGAGGCAGGTGGGGAGGTTGTCGTGTAGCCCTGTACAAGAGGAAGAAAAATAAGGTGGGTGTGTAGGCAGCTAAGAGTGAAGGCACAGAAGAGATGACCAAAGGAGATCACGTCTGACAACTTGAATTTTCTCAGGGAAGTAGGAAGTCAAGTTATCTTCTTCTGCAGGCGGGAGATGGGGACTGAGAAGGGGCTGGAGGGGAGTAGCGGAAGTTTGGGACAGAAGTCAAGGGCATGGACAAGAAGCTGACAGGACAAGGGAGGGATTGAACACCTAGCCAAAGTGGAGATCAGGACTCTGTTGTCCCCCAGATTCCCCCAGTAGTGCTCAGCCTTTGTGATAGGAAGGGGAAGGAAGGTTGTAGCTTTGTCCTAGACATGGGACA